TGATAAACCAGGTCAACATTGGGTAGCAGCGTGGAAAAATGGAAAAATTTATATTTTTTTGATAGTTTTGGATTAACTCCAGAACATTACAAAAATAAAAGATGGAAAAAATTTGCAACTGATAAAAAATTAAATTTTGAAATATTTTCTTATAAAAGACGTCAAAATATTAATACAACTACTTGTGGGGTTTGGTGTTTTTTTTTTGTTACAAAAATGTTTAAAAATGAATATTTTAAATGTAATTAATCATAATTCGACTTTAGATAATGATAAAAATTGTTAAGTTTATCTAAAATGTTTTTCCAAAATTAAAAAGTGTACGCAAGAAAATGTAAAATGAGAAGAAAAATACTCAAATATGTTGTAGTTATAAAAATATATTTAAAAAGTAAAATTATGTTGTTGTCATTTTATCAGGAATTACATCAATATCTTTGCTTACATATCCATGTCTAATACATAAGTCCCAAAACTTTTCAACAAACTCTTTCATAACATAAAGTTCATCAAATGTATAATCATTGAAATCAGGATGCATCATGAATACTCTGATAAATAGCGAGAATACAACTTCATCCAATGTAAAACGTACTTTTTCATAATCGTTCTTGTAAAATACTATGACAACCATCACTTTTCTTTTTCTTCTTCTTCAAAATCTTTATATGAAACACGAAGTTCGGTAATTCTTAAATCAGGCTTGCTTAGAACTTTAGAAAAATCAAATATTTGAGAACGCAATTCAAATCTTTTCATCACATTTAAACAAAATGTTTACCTCGTTCAGGAATCAATGAATTTTTAAGAAAGTAGCTCCAAACTGACGTGACAAAGTTTTCATCAATATATATCTCTTCGTCTCTTTCATTGACAAATGGGATTTCTACATTTTCTTTTCCTATTTTACTTACTATATCTTCAAACAGATCAAATTCACACCAAAATTGAAAAATGGGTATAGTGTAATTATGCTCAAAAAAAGTTACAATCATTTTTTTTTAAATAAGATGATTTCGTTAGAAGTATTATACATAATTTGAAAATTTACTCTCTATTTATACAAGTCATTTAGCGAAAAGAACTATATTTATTTGATAAAAAATATATTTCAGAAATAAAATTAAATATTTACATCATATATTGTTGTCAGTTCATTGGGAAAAATATCTTTCCTAATTCTTACATTATGTTTACTTTTTATATGATTGTCGAAAACAATATAACCATGATCATTCTCATTCATATCGTCTATTAAACATTCCATGAAATTTTTTGATAAACCCTTATTAAACAATAATGTTTTTAAATTCCTATTATCTCCTACATTATTGAATACAATAATGTATTGACTATTTGTTCTAGCTGTTCTTAATTTTGTATTTCCGTAATTTAAATTTTGACATGTAAATATGATAGAAAAATCCTCATGATGACAGTCTCGTGTAGCAATTTCATCCAATTTTTTTGTATTATCTTTATTATCCGTTGCATTAATCATCAAATCGTCCAGTATTATTAATGTTTGATTTCCTAATTTTTGTTTTATGTCAGTTACAGAGGGTATGTGTAATTTGCATTTGATAAATTCGTAATTTTGCAGGGCTGTATTTTTTTGTTCATTAATAATAGATTTTATTTCGTCAAACATTTCTTGATAACTAGACGAGTAATAATATAAAAGTTTTGTAAAAGGGGTTCAAAGATTTCATCATTAAATTTTATCAATTCTTTTATAAAATGTGTTTTTCCACATTGTGATGGTCCACAAATAGTCATCATAAAAGGATGTTGAAATTTTACAACTGGTTTATATATCATATTTTCAATCTAAAAAATAACCATAAGGAATTGTAAAAAAATTATCTAATACTATACGTTTATCAAAAGTGAATGCAAACTTTTCACTTCTTCGTTTAAAATACATTTTGTTGGTTATCACGTGATATTTTTTCTTTATAAATTACTTCAATTATTTTTCATTATCTTTTACACACTCATTTATCGAATCAAATGTTATTTTCTTTTCCCATCACCCTTTAAAGAAAATCCTTTTGCATGCACTATTTCATTATTTTATCTGTTTTAAAAGAATAACTTTTTGGTCCTGTAGAACAAAATGATTTAATATATTCACCATTTTTTAATTCGTTAGTAAGGTCACCTAGGTAATTACCCGTTTTAATATCATTTCCATCAACACTAATGTAAATTATTGAATCGGTATCATAATATAAAACTTTGTCTTGCAGCTTATGTAATACATTTAAAAGCTCTAATCTTGCATAACTTGTTACAAAAGAAGCAATAACAACATTACGATTGGGTAAAATTGACGAACATGTTTCATTTTTTTTATGTGTTGTTCTTAAAATATCCGAAGACACGATATTTAAAGAAGTTAATTCGTTAGTATGATTGTTTGCTAAATACAGTAGATCATATAAGTTATTGATAAATGATACTGTAACTACATTATCATTTTGTGCAAACTTTCCCCATAATGAATTTAAAATCATTTTCATAATGGTACGAATACATATATTTTTCTTAATATTACTTCTATCTAATTGAATTCCTTCGTGTTCATAATAATCTAATATAAATTCATTTAATTTTTCTTCATTAACAGTTTTTCATCCTCATTAACAGTTTCATCCTCAGTTTCATTATAACATTCTTTAGGAATACCACTATTTTCTTGTTTTATTTTCATAAAATTGTCTACAAACCCTCGAAAATTTTACCCTGTTTTTATAATGATAAATTTCATATATTTTAATTATTCTATAACCACATTCAATAGCTTTATTTATTTCAACACTAGTCCATGTACCCCTTAATGCTCTCTTCTCATCATTATGATTACATTTTCGATTTTTTCCATAGCACAAGTGTAACATAGTGTAAATATTAATTTATTATCAATGCGTAAGGGTAAAACAGGAAATAAAAGTGTAGTAGGGGTAATATACAACATTTAATTAACAAACACACTTCCGACATCAATATTTAAACATTCTTCCTCTAAATATATTTCGGGATGATTTAAAGGATATGCATACTTTTTTTGAACATATGGATATAATGACGTAAAGTCAACATATTTAACCTTTTCATTTTCCTTCACTTCATAATATAAACATGGAGGTGATGTTCTACCACCATATAATGCATCACGTGGATGCAACGGTAATACATTAAAAAATTCCTCTTTCCTACTTTTTATTTCACTTATATTTTTATCTTTTAAATATTCACATTCCCACATTTCGACTACATTATAATTATTTTCAATTAATTGTTTTGAAAACTGTTTTGTTTGCATTCGTAAAAAATACATCTTTTCTTTTTTCAAAGTATTATAATCATCAATATTAAAACATTTATTACAACCGTGAAAAAACATCCGTGAAATCGATATACAGTATTGTTTTCTTCACAATACCCATCAACAAATCTACCTAGAATTTTTCTTTCTCCATTAATGGATAGTTTGTATTCTAAAGTGTAACCCATTTCATCTAATTCTGATTTAACTTCACTCAACCAACATAATGCTATTAAACTTTGCATGGTATTACCCCTGTGCCCGAATGATGGAATTTGTGCAATTTTATCATCTTGTAAATAATTACTTCTAAATATTTTTAATGTTAAACCAGCAATTGTTATGCATGTTGTGTCGTAAAAAGGCAAAATATTTGTAATGTTGTAGATCAAATTTGAAAATTTTATACATCCAAGCCTTAGAATATTAACATCATTACTACAATAATAATAAATTGCATCTCGAAATACGTATTCTTTTTCACATTGTTTGTCATACCATGTGTTAAAATCGTTTTTATCATCTTCTGAAATATCAAAGTATTTTTTATCAATCATATTCCCTATACGTCAGATCAAAAATTTGTATGGGTGATATGATATCCTTTACAATGTTATCAATTTCAAGTGATTTTGGAAAGTCTGCTAATTTCATGTTTAAAATGAATAACTATCAATAATTTGCAGATTAATTTCTTTTATTTTTAAAGATAAAATTTTATTCCCGTTCATAACAGTTTCGGAATTAAATTTTTTCTGTCAATAAGTATTTTAATAAAATATTGTATCAAATCTACCACCATTATGTGCAATCCAAACAGAATTTTTTTGTTCTAACATAAACTGAGCTAATCGTGATGTTACATCATCATTATTACAATCAAAGACAAATTGACGATAACCACAACAGTCAACGGGGTCAATTGATAAGTCAGTAATATAATCCATATCGGGTAAAAAATACTCAAAATTTTTATGAAATGGAATTTTTTCACATTTACGACATACTTTTTGAACAACACAATAGAATGGTATCATTAAATTATTTTCATCTGTTTTTGTTTCAAAATCAAAGAAAAATAACGTTGGTGTAGACTTATACTTATTAAATTCTAAGGGTTTGATATGACATTTATGTTGTTTGTCCAAATATTTTCTACAATGAGCACAATATGTTTTTTGACAATCATGTAAAACAACCTTATTTTTTTTAACAAAGAAAAATCTTGGAACAATTTTATTACATGTATTACAAAAAAAATTTTGACATGGTGTGACTTTAATACTATTCTTATTTTTAAACAATTTATTAAACAGATGTTTCCGAAACAATCTGATGATTTAAAATTATATTACATTCGGTGCATTGAATAGAAAAATTTGCTTCTTTTTTACAGTTTGAATAACATTTTAAACATGTGTCTTCATTTTTACAAATATGAGAATCCGCATACTCGTCAAATTTCAAATAATGCATGCATTTAAAGCAAAATAAATCCAATTTTAAATTAGAAAAAAGTTTAGGATTTAAGATTAAGTCATAGTGGGAATCATTTAACCATAAAAAAATAATTTTATCACTAATGTGAAAGGAATCATGATTACTCACTCTTGAGTCATAAATTATTGTATCTAATTTATCTTTAGAAAAAATCACCAAATGAAAATTATCTTTTTTTAAGTAGTTTTCGTAAACTAAATTTAATTGGTTAATGGCGACACTTCCTTCTGATAATTTAGCTTCTTTATAAAATGATTTAACTTCGTCTACAGTAATTATTTCATCAACTGTTTTATTTAAATTTTTTTTAAAAATAGTTAGTTTCTCATCATTATTAATAAACATTTTTCCAACTAATACAGCCACAGCAAAACAACAATTTTAACTTGAGTTTGCAATTTGTCACACTTAATTTGCAATATACCATTTCTAACTTCTCTTTGATGTTTCAATACTGGACGATTTGTTTTACCACCTACTATCATCATCAGGATTTAAATTATAAATAAGTTTTTGTTTTGTTTTCAGATTGGTCTTTTTTCTAAATGAGATTTTCTCATTTTATATTGATAATGGGACAATCATAAGACATACATTACTTTCCCAGTCATTATTTAAAAATTCTGAAAGATTACTTTGTAAATTATGTTCAAAAGTATCTAATAATCTCTGTATAGTAAATTCCTTTAAAGGTAATAAGGATGTTGAAAAAGGTTCTAACGGAGCTTTTTCGAAAAAAAATCTAATTAAATCATTCTCAGAATTTACGGTTAATTTTGCTATATTGAGCAAATATTGTAATATTTTTGAAAATTGTTTCAAAAAATCTGGTAAACTGTTGAAATTGTTTTTTTTTTATAAAAATTTGATATACGTGATCCTTTAAAAACAACTCGTTTTTACTTGGAAAAAAATTTAATTATTTCTTAAAATCATCAAAAAACATTAAACCACACCAAGAAATATTTACTAATTATGGTAAGAATATTGGAAAAAAAAGTAAAAAGTAAAATATTTTGTAAATAAATAATATTTTTTATTGAATAAAAATACATTTTACATAAATGTTTTTTTAATTAATTAATTAAGTACACAAATTGATTTCAACTAAAATATCGACCCCAATATTGGTGCTAACAATGGTAATATTCCTCCTTTTTGACCTCTTCTTCTTTACCTTACATACATCTGACCTCTATATGCACCTTTACCCAATTGATTATTTGCAATTTCAAATGCTTTATCCATTAAGGGTGAATTTACAATTTTTTTTGCTTTAGAACCCAGTATTCCTGATTTTGCTATAGCTCTAGCAGCTTTTGCAGATTTTAACGCTAAATGTTTTTTACTTAATGCTTTTTTAAATCCAGACTTAAGTGTATTGTGAATTTTAGAAAATTTAATAAATCCTCCTTTTTGTCGTCTCCCTCCTCTTTGACGTCTCCCCATTATTTTAGTAATTTTAAAAAACATTATTTCAGAAATTTAAAAATGTGATTTTGTAAAAAAATCTATATATATGTTATACCATTTGTACTACTTCTGCATAAATAAACAGATATTGCTTTCAATGCATATATTTATTGAATTTGCTTACTATTTATTTTACTTATTTATTCTTTTCTTAAAAATAAAAATAAAAAAATGTATAAAAGAAAACGAAAAAGAATTAAAAAAAGAAAATATAGAAAAAAAGCACAAAAAGGAGGAATTATTGGTGGACTAGCAGGATTGGCATTAAAGGGTATTGTTCCAGCTATAACAGGTGGGATTGTTAAAAAAAAAAATTAAATAATATATTATTAAGGGATAATTTTTTTCTGATGAAACAAAAAATGTGTAAAAGGAAAAGAAAAAGGAAAAATTATTGTATAAGAGGATCAATAAAAAAAATAAAACAAAAGGGTAGTGGATATTTAAAGACAATGATGAATGAAAATAGAAAAAATAGAAAATTTGTATTTAATTAATTATTTCCATTAAAATTTGAAAAAAATAATTTGTATCTATCAAGTCCATTTTTTTTAAAATAAATAAAATATCATCACAAGTTGACGTATGAAAATTAGGATCTCTATCAAATATTAATCCCAATTGTTCAAATGTTAAATTACTACGTGTGGTTAATGTAAAATTAGGTTTTTCTAATTGTTTACATTTTATAACAAGTAAAGTTATAAAATCATCAAACAATATATTACAATATTTACAATATAATACATGTCGTGCATAATTCGTATAAATTCCGTTTTCTGTTAAAAAATTATAAATTACATGTTTATTTACATTTTTCAATTTTATTTTTTCAATTGTATTAAAAATTTTTTTACAAGATATATAAATTTTTACATCACTAACATGTTTAAAAAAATATCTATATAACGTTTTACACTCTAAACCTAAATGAAAACTATCTTTTTTTACAACCTGAGAATCATGTAAATAAATGGTGAAATAATCATATAAAATTTTATTACTTCGTTTATCTACATTAAAATAATGATATCTGCAACAAAAATTTTCATTAAATAATAAGATTTTTTTATGTTGCATATAAACTTTGGGTAACCAATAACTCGAAATTAAATAAAGATGTTCGGTATTTTTATTCTCCCAACAACGTATTATCCCTACTGTTCCATATAGAATTTCAATGAAATCTACATTTTTGTAAACGGTTTTGAATTTTTCATCATTTGAAAAAGATTTAAAATAAAGGGAATATTTTAAATCTTCTACAGTTGGCTTAATTTTAAGCACTTTCATTAGTGACGAGGTTCTTTTCAATTTTAATAAATAACTGCATACAAAATACAGCGGATATAACAATGGATGACCGGGATATTCGTTCAATAAAATGACGAATACTTGGATAGATAAAAAATCCATATCGTTAAACTAAAAAAAATATAATAAACGTTAATTCTTTCGGGTTTATGTAATGGGTGAAATACACAAAAAACGGTATCAAATATAACCAATTTCTTTGTCACTATGTTATCTACAAAGAAATACTAATAAAAACAACAAAAATTAAAAAAAAAACATTTAAAAATGAAACAATTGATTTTTAATAGCATATTCATTTATATACATTGTATAGTTAGAGTTAATATCAACTCGTGGTTTATATTGATTATAATAAAAATTACAAGTATGTCCATCAAAATGTCCAACACGACAAAAAATATATCCATTGTGATCTATAACACCACATGACTTTTGATATAATGTTTTTCCATTATTCAATTTCCAAAAAATTACTAATTAAAAAAAAATATCATTAATTTAGTTTAACTCGTTTCATAGCTTTTTTGTCAGATATTATTTTTCTTTTCTGACCTTTCTTTTTATTAAATTCAATTTTATCATTGTCATATTCTTCTTCTTCCATATAATTGTCTTCTTCTTCAGTATCATTATTTTCGTCTTTTTTTAAATCTGCATAAATTTTATTCAACAATCCATTTGGGTTTAATAAAGTACAATCCATATTTCCTTTTTTCAAAATTTTTAATAGAAAATTGTCTTTAATTTGAAAATGATCCTTTCTTTGTATCTTTCCACGAATAAAATGAAAGAAATCAGCTTCAATATACTCCAGTATTAATTTTGCTAAGGTTAACTTGAACCTTACGCAATAATAGCACTTTTGACAGTTCTGAAATTTACTTTCGCCTAGTTCTTTAAATAAGATCATAACTCTATTTTTTTCGAGATACCTCATAATTTTTTCCTAGCAAAAAATTAACATGAAAATCTATTATACATTTTTAAAATCCATACCCTGATTTTTTGCATTATGCAAATAAAAATATCTAGATCTTTAACATCATAAAAGTTCTTTTCATAATGTCTAACTTTTATAATAAATCGTTTTTTCATCCGCTATAAAAATTCTGTGGGTAATTAATATACGTCTTTAAAATAATATTTTATAATAAAAAGCCAGTATGTTATTTCATCAGTGTGATGCAAATACTCTTTCAAATGATTTATTAACTAAAATGTTTTTTCCAAGAACTAAAAAAGTGTACAAAAGAAAATGTAAAAATGAGAAGAAAAATACTCAAATATGTTGTAGTTATAAAAATATATTTAAAAAGTATATTATATATTATGTTGTTGTCATTTTATCAGAAAATTACTTCAATATCTTTGGTTACATATGTAAAAATATATATGTAACCAAAGATATTGGTGTAATAGTTCCAAAACTTTTCATCAAATGTATAACCATTGAAATCGGGATGCCTCATGAATACTCAATTATGTTGTAAATCTATAATTTTTTCCATAAATAATATCATACTTCGTAAGTAAAAGCAAATAATATTAAATTCATACCTTAATTTCAAACAACGTATAGTTCTTGCGATAGTATTTGAAGAGTCTCCACAACAGATTCTATTAGTCTCCAATAAATAGACTTGAAGCGTAGCCAGATAGCTGCTAATGCAATTGTGATATTAAGAAATTGATCTGTAAATAAAAACCAAATAGCATTAATCCTCTACCTTTATTATTTCAAACAACGTAAGTCTTATGCGTAAGTCTAAAGTCAACGTAAAGTCTCTTTGCAATAGTATTTGAAGGTTCCAAATAGACTTGCATGCAAAGTTAGAGAAAAGAAATTAGTTCGTGAATAAAAAAGTAACACATAACTCTTAACTTTCTTTCAAAATAATGTATTGTCTTTCGGAATAGTATTTTAAAGAAAAATGCAATTGTGTTATTAAAATAGTAAATAAACGCAAATTATATAAAATGTTAGCTTTAGCATTATTTGAGACTTAGGTCTGTTGACCAGACTCTCAGATTTATTAACGTAACTAGAGAAACGTTAATGCAATTGCGGTAATAAAATTAGCTCAAATAAAGGAAACACTTACCATACAAGTCTCCTAAAACAGTCAACGATTTCCAACAAGATTCACTTCACCGATTTCCAACAAGATAACTTCAACAGGGCTGAGAAACTTCGATGCAGTTGTGATATTTACGCATTCTTAAATACTCTGTTACAACAAAAATACCCTTTGTTTCCGTTCACCTTGAACGTCGTATCTACATCTCAATACACTGTACCTTTGTTTGCTAGTTGCCCTGAACATTTGAGAACACAAACAAACCCATTTACTGTCATCATATCAATTAAATATCAATTAAACATCTGTGACTGGTACAATCTGACATGACTTCAACAGAATGAAATGAACGTTTTGTATTAAAACAAGATACAAAAAAATTATTTTCACCTTTTAAATTTCATATTAATCAAATTTGTTGTGTTGTGACAAAAATCGCAAGTTTTATTCCATAGAATCACACCAAAATCAAAAAAGAATACCATAAACTTGAGAGAATACTAATAATATCTTAAACAAAATCAGTTTAGTGTCATCACGTCTATTAAGCAATTATCTTCAATAATTCCTGTGACTGGTACAATCTGACATTGACTTCAACAAAATCGAAAATATGCATTTTGTTTAAACAAAGATGCAAAAAATTATTTCACCGCTTATGTATTTTAATAAACAAAAGGAGTGTCTTATAACAAAAAGTATGTTTAATATAGAATCACACCTAAATCAAAACAGAATACTAATAATATCTCAAAACAAAGACTGCTTTTGCTGCTGTCATCACATTTATTAAACTATTATCTTCAACAAAATCGAAATATGATTTGTATTAATATTTTGTAAAATTCTAATATTTCTGTACAATTTTATACATTTAACATATTTTCAAGCGTTCTTTTGTAATTTTTGATTGCTTTGATTTCATCTTACACACCTGAAAATATCGATGTACTTTAACTTGATCGTAATTTTGTTCTTTAATCAGAGTGCATCATCTCTAATATGTCTCTATAAATCCCTTGGGGAGTCGATGCGAAGTTCACATTTATATATCTATCATCTATACTAATTAATCCCCGTCTGTGTCAAACCCATTATATATACATAATGAGTTACAAAACACACTTTAACCTTCAACTACCAACAATCGATGCAGTTTGTGTTGTGACAAAAAAACGCAAGTTTTAATATATAAAGAAACAATTTTTTTACAAATAAATTCAAAACAGAATTTTGTAAATTTTAGACAACACCAATAATAACTGAAACAAAAGCCATTTGCTGTCATCACATCTATTAAGCAATTATCTTATGGGTGATGATGGAATCTGATACTGCTAGCTTCAACAAAATCAAAAATATAAAGTTTTATTAGAAAATCTAAATGCAATTTTTTCAACACATTAATGTAGTGAATAATCGATGTGGTTTATGTTATAACAAAAATCGTAAGTTTTAACATATGTGAAACAAGTAAACCAATATGTCATGGGTCAAAAGGTTATATTTGCAAAAAATTTGATCTATAAATCAAGCATTTATCTCGTTTACACTTGCAAGCATACACTTATCGCAAAAGATAAAAAAACAAAAGCAAACAAAAAGATGGAAAATGCCAGAAAGAAAGAGAAAATTACGATACAAAAGACGATAGAAAAAATAAACAACGGAATAGAAAATATTATAAATGAAAATATATGAAGATACAGCCATATTTGAAAGAAGTTTGCGATGAATGATAGACTTTATTAATAAAGAATCAATTAAATTTGACGTCATGACAATGAGCACGAAAATCTTAAATGAACTAAATAAAAACAAATAGAAGAAGAAGAAAGAAGAAAAAAGGAAAAAGTAATTAGAAAATCTATAGATTATATATACTTTATTTTTTTAGATGTTGACGTGTCTGACAATGAAAAACAGTTGCATATTAATCGTCTAAACAAAATATTTGAAGAGTTATATTAAAATTGTTATATGAACTATATTTCATCACTTTGAAGTTCTTCACCCAACTTAGCTTGTGCTAATATTAATTTTACTTGAGTATTTTCTTTTATTTTTTCATAATCAGTTAACGAATTGTTTAAACAATCGCATTCATCTTGTAAATCTTGAACATCTTTTAAATATTCAATATGTTTTATTTCATTTTGTTTTCTTTTTCCAACTCTTTTAAAGCTTGAATTTCTTTTGAAATCTCGCTCATTTTTTCCATTTTGCGTTAGCTTTCTGTTTCTTCTAATTCACTCTGCAAGTCAAGTATTTGTTTTCTAAATCGTTAAGTTTTTATAATTTCGCTAAGTTCGATGTTTTACATCAATCAAATAGATATAATAAAATTTTCTTTTGAGCCAATGCGATGTGTTTGACTTTCATCTTCAGATGTATTTGGAGTTGAAATGTGTGATGTATTTGCGTTTGATTCTTGTGATTCCATTTTATAAACAAACTTAACAAATATATGACACGTTAGTTCTTCAATGCGTACAATTTCAAATAACAGGTCTTTTATATACTCCACCAATATTAAAAAAAAACCAAAAAAATTCAAGCAATGCAAATATGAAGCGTTCAAGGTTATCGTGCATGTAATAAGCATATATAGTAATAAAACATGTAAATTCTTCATTGACGTCAAAACAAAGCATCTCAATTAGTAACTTCAGACCCAGTAATTAATCAATCAACTTGAAAGTCAAGGTTATATTCCAAATTTAAGAAAATGGTATTCAGATTGTAACTGGCACTAAACCAAGGGTGTACAAGTTCAACAGGGTAATAATAATACCATAAATAGATTAAATGAAAGGAAATACATTTTTATTTATCAAATTCTGTTAGTATATAAGAGCTTGCTCATTAAAAATTTCTTTATTATAAAGAAAAAATGGAGTCAGACGTGTCATATGAAGATTTTTTACTCTATTTGAAAGATAAAAGAAACAAAAGTCGGTTCGATATATATATAAAAAGAAATAAAGAAAAAAAATTAAAAGCAAAAAAAAATCAAAAAGAAAATCAATTTCAAGAAGAAAATCAATTTCAAGAAAATAATGAATATCCCTCTCTACAAACACCCATCCCGAATTGGTTAAATACTGAGAAAAATAACAAGACAAATTCTGAGACAAGTTTCATCGAAAATCAAAATCGCGCATCATCATCACCAGATTCTCCACAACCCATGGATGAAGATACAGCAGAAAAGATTGATGGTAAAAGTCCTTTGAATACTTATCATGATAATATTCAAAAATCATCCCTTTACCCATAATTAATAATGTATATTCAACAAAAAATTCTCCTACTAAAAAAAATTCAACTCTTATGAATATCATGTCTCCAATCTCAACTACAAGTATGATGTCACCATAACGATGTCTCTTTCTTAAAATTACAATATCCCTACATTAAGCGAACTTTTTAAGAGAACTTGAAGACGTTGAATTTAATCAAGATCAACAAAATCAAGGATTTACAACTCCTCCCATAATAATACTATGAATCAAAATCAAGGAAATACATCCTCCTCCTGAACAAATGAATCAAGATCAAGTATTTGCTCATCCCAATCTAGTATTTACAAGTCCTCCTCATAATCTTAATGAATGGATAGGTAAAAAAAGACAATTAATGGATGCTACTGAAAGTATAAAAAAAAGAGACGACGTCCGACCAAAAAAAAACTTGAAGAATACAACAACAAAATCAGTAAAAATCCTGAATACTCTTGTAATATGTTATCTTTTAACAACGTCCAAAATTGTGTTAATAGATAATTTTATTCACTTATAAAAGGAAATATCATATGTAAAATGAGGAAGAAGCAAATTTTTAATTGATCTATTTGAGAGAAGAAAAATTACTTGATAAATTAAAAGAACTCAACCAAGAAATTAATTTAAACACACAATGAGTATTTTTAGAAAAATGTCTTAAAATCTTTTTATATACATCAATTTGTAAATACTTCACATAATACTTTCTATAATATTTCATATAATAAAAAATTCATGTTTTTGTATTTTATTGAGGGTAGTATCAGGTTGTACCAGACACGGTTCTTAAAGATGCCTTTAATTGATGGGATGGTTGTTGGTGTTAATAAATCAGTTCTACATATCGGACAGTTAGAAAATCCATGTAATAATAATTGTGTCAAACAATCAAAATGTATCTTGTGTCCACATTTTAACATTCCGATTCCAGTTAATGTATCTTCCAAACATATCATACATTGAACATGTTCGTTTTTGCATATATGATATTGATTTTTTCCTTTTTCCTTTTCGAAACACGATCCACAAGCATCACAATGAAATGATCTATGTAATTTAACTCTACAAACACCACATTTTACACAATGATAAGGATCTTTCGAATAATCATCGTAAACCTTACATTTGTCACAAAAATAGTCAGCCAACTTTTTCTTACACTTGATACAATATTGTTGAATTCCTTGCTCAAACCACAATAATTACACATTATCCAGGAAATATCTTGGATTGACTTTTTATTGCAAAATGATCTTTATTATGATGATGACATGGATGAATCTTTCAAACATTTTAAAATAAAAGAACAGTTTTTTAGAGGTATACAATTTGTAAACATACATTGATACTTCTGTATCCGAGACATTTTCCATCAATCTGTTTTTACATGGAGGGTGTTATATATATACACATATCTTCACAATGCTTTTTCAGCTACATAGGAAAATATATTTTTCTTTTCAGCCATTAAAACTTATTTTTCAACATTACTTGTCATATAATTTGTTCAAAATGTTGATGATTATCATCATTTTCATCCAAATATTTTTTTAATACTTTAATAAATGCTTCAATAAGTGATTTTTGTTCCAAGATAAATTTCTTTTCAGGTGCATCAAAAATCATTTTTATATTATCTTCTTGACATTCATCAATAACATCAAAAACCGTGCACTGCTTTTTCCAACTCAAAATAACATCTGAAGATAGAAACACTTTATTCGAAATATCAACATCAGCATCATCATCAGGAGTTAAAAAAAATACTATAGTTCTGCTTCGCCAATCCGCCATTATCAATTGCAAGAAATGATACTAAAACATCTAACACTCAAATGTCAATCAGACTTCGTCTTCTTAAATATATCTTCTACATCATCTGGAAAAGTGTAGCGATCTAGTTGTCGCTTGATGACTGCGGTGATATGTATAATACTTTATCCATCTTAAATTTGTATTTGAAGACCGAAGCCATTTTTCCGAAATCTCAGCAATTAATACAATTATTCCCAAAAAACTGTACACAAATACAAATAACAGCTTTTACCATTTATATATATCATATAGTTACTAATACAATTTTTTCAATAATATTTTTATAAAATACTTTAATTCCAATTGTGTTATGCTATAAATTCTTTTCATCATGATAATAAAAGTAGTCTTCCAATTTTTCTATAAATATGTCAATCTTTATCTTTCGCTGATTATCATCCCTTCATCGCATAATTTGAAATTAAATTTTCTTCCATCTTCAATTTCTTTATTAAAAATAATCACCACCATCAATGAATTTAGATATACATTCTGATTTCATAATAATTTGACTTAAATTTTTTCATCAAAATCTCATCGCGCTCAAATATAAAAGTAATACTTTATTTGAAGATTTTTGATAGATTTTCATTTTGACAGCAAAAATTCAAATGAAAAATAAATCTTTTATTGAAGATTTTTACATTAAAAGAGTGATAAAAAGGGTAAGAAATTCGAATTTTTTTTAAAAAAATGAAAAAGAAAAATATGATTAAATTGAGAAATTCAAATTTTTATAAAATAGAAATATGTTTTTTTACATAATAAAAGATTAGAAAGGTTAAATTTTTTTATTTATTTACTAAAAAAGTGTAATATATAAATCCTTAATATCATTGTAGAGCAGATAATCACATTGGTATTGGTTAAAGAAAGATGGAAAAAAATGATGTGAATAACCCTTCCAAAAATTATGGTGGATTTGGAAATATTTCATATGGAAAACCGCCAACATTTCGTGAATTTAATAAATTTAATTCACACCATATTTCTCCTCTAAAAAGATGTAAGCAATCAATATGTACAAAATGTATCTATTGTGAAATTGAATCTTCTGTAGAATCAAAAGTTTTTTCTGAATTTAACAAAATAATACCACTAATAAATGGAGAAATAAAAAAAATTGAAGAAAAACTTACAGAGAAAATTGATGAATTTATAAATCATCTAAGAATGGAATTTGAGTTTAATATAAAAGAAATGTATGAAAAAGTAGAAAAAGATATAAAGTAAGAAAAAGACAAAAAGATTTTTATTAATTCAAAATAAAATTATTTGTGTAAAATGTTTGTACTTTATAAAAAAATAAAACCATAAAAGCAACACAATGATTGGTTACTAGTAATCATTGTGAGGCTTGCTTTCATGGTATTGTTTTATATGATGTCAAAGAAACTGATATGCATCAAGACGAAAATAAGAGAAAATATTAAACCAGTGAACTGTATTAACTATGTTGAGAAACACTGTAAAAGAATATCCCGATGGAAAATGTATTTACAGCCACAATGCAAATGAATTTCTTTGAGAGGAAATATTGTTCATTGTTGTTGATAATCGACAAGAAAGAATTCAACAGAACAACTTTTATTATGAAGGATGATGAGTTTTTCATTTCATAAAATCAAATAGAGGTGAAGTTGAATATGTTCCCTATTCTATATTTATGGATAAGGTAAAAAGAATATTATTATGCTGTGTTTGCAATCGTTTGAAGTCGTTTTACCAAAATAAATCAAAGCACTAAAAAGAAACTCATTTACAACGTGTGTACAATGTGTATTTGCTACCATCTCTACAAATTCTTATATGCGTATGTGTGAAATTACAAGATTGGATTAATTGGTTTTGGACGAAAAAGGTGAAAAGGCTGAGTAAATTTATCTTGCGGACTTGCGATTAAAAGCGAAATAATTTGTATATCACAGTAAATCGGACTTTGGGAAATTTTAAAATGTGTAAATATACGTTCCATCTATGTTTTATCAATGTCTTGTTTTACAAATAGAAGATTGGTTTAATTGATTTGGGATAAGAATTTGGTGAAAAGATTGATTCCTTTATCGTTTCTTTTAATATGGATGAAATATTGAAAGTGACAATTTGTATCATCAATAAATTGGATTTTGTACTTTTCATATTATAATTTTTAAAAAGTTGGACTTTGGACTTTCATCAATGTAATTATTTTTATATTGTAATTGAAATATATATCTTTTTTTATGAAATCTCTGTTTTTATATATTTTACTTTACTTTATTCACTATTCTAATTATATATATGTATATTATCACAGGCTCACCTTCTCTATTTTATGTTTACTACCGCTGACTGCCTCAAAAACGATCCCCCCGGTGTTTTTTATTATAAGATGTATTATGACTATTTTTAGACATAATACATTTTATAATAAAAAAACTTGAGCCTGCGATGATATATATATATATAT